TATATATATATATATATATAGTGTGACCAGTGTAGTCTGATTCGCAAACAAACATTTTTTTTCTCTTATGAATCATCTCTTTGTAGTCAAACGCATAACCGGGTTTCCATCCAAAGTTGCGAATTTAACTTGTGCGAATAGCCTGTTTTCCATCCAAAGTTTCGAATTTAACTTGTGCGCAAAATTGGAATATCGCATAAAACATTTGCGAACAAGCAATATTTCCATCCAATGAGTCAAAGAAAACAAAATTGTCACTTCCTGATAAACTGGCACTATAAATCACTAACAAAAGTAGGAGAAGCCACTGAATATAATAATTTTCATATATAATAAATTACTTGTGCCGAAACGAAATAAATTCTGGCAATTGCTTTCGGAGGTGGATGCCTGTGTTTGGGAATGCAGTCGTGTAAGAGTTCTGGGAGGCAATTATACATAAATACTTTGACGACAGACTTTGCTCGGGCATTCAGAATGACATTAACAACAATTCAGATGCTGTGGAACGAGATCCGCCCACTGGTTAGTCAGGTTTTGCCGTCCCATAACGCAGTCACATGACTTCTTTGATGCACATGGAGGAATTTATTCGGCAAATACTTTTCTTTTATTCGGGAAATAAAATGCATACAGCACGACCAATGTAGTCTGATTCCCGAACATGTGAATCTTATCTTATGAATTTTTTCTTTTTAGTGAATCAAACACAGATAGAATGGCCAGTGTAGTCTGATTCCTGAACTAATTACTCTTATGAATCGGCTCTTTTTAGTGAATCAAACACAGACAGCACGGCCAGTGTAGTCTGATCCTCAAACAAATGACTCTTTTGGATCTGCTGTTTTATTTGAGAAATAAAACCCAAACAGCACGACAAATGTAAATAGATTTCTGAACAAGTGACTCTTATGAATCGTTTCTTTTTAGTGAATCAAACACAGACAGCACGGTCAGTGTACCCTGCGTTCCATTCGGAAGTGCTCATCCCTACGCCCTAATCCCTTCAAAGGGTTTACCCTCCGGAGTGAGAGCTTCGAAGGGTTGAAGGGTGTAGGGGACCAAACAACTGTTTCTTGAAGTGCCCTTCTGCATCATCATCATCACGTGCCCACACAGAGGCACCGTCATCATGCAAAGAATCTGCGCAAAGGATCATGGGAGCCCGAAGTGTCCATCAGATGTACCCTTCGAAATCCTTCATTCCGAAGGGCCCTTTGAAGTGGCCAGTTTTGAGCACTTCGGGTTGGAATGACCCTTCAATATGGCGGCCATGATTGTTTTCACTCCGAAGTGTCCTTCGGAGGGCGATATATCCCGTTTGGAACGCACCGCCTGTCTGATTCCTGAACAAATTACTCTAATGAATCGTTTCTTTTCAGTGAATCAAACAAAGACAGCACTGCCAGTATAGTTTGATCCTCAAACAAATGACTCTTATGACTCGGCTCTTTTTAGTCAATCAAATACATACAGCACAACCAGTGTAGTCCAAATGACTTATTATTATAATGGTCTCAATTTTCGCAAATTGCATTTCCTTTATTCGTTAGTTGAACTGTTAAAAGCTGAAATATGGGTAAGGAAATTCTTTACAATTCCCATCCCTAGTCGGTGATGTTTCACAATTGCAATAACTTCAAATATTAACTAAAAAAGTTGAAGAATTTTCACTTACATCCAGCATCTCTGTGGTCTGCCGGGCTGCGTCGTCATTCTGTGCTCGAATACGGAGGTCGTCCTGGTACTCCTTGCAGTTCATTCCCTTGTGAATAGCCTTGACATGCACATGCACAGTCCTTAAGGTCACCATTACATGCACTTCCAAACTAGACGTGAACTAAACACAAACAAACGTTGTGTTCACCTTGCAGAGGAGGCAGTTGGTCTCGTTGCAGATGTCACATGTGAATTCGTTCACGTCATCTTCGAAGATGCACCAGCCGGCGCAGTCGGGCGTCTTACAGTGGTAACTGTTCTCACTGCGGGACTCTGCGATGTTCAGCCTCAGTTCTAGAAACTTCTGGTACTCGTCCTGGGATAGAAGCTGGTGGGAAACAGTAACGTTTGGTGTGTTATATTAAGTGAACAGGTAACCTCAATAATTCAATGTTAAATAATACTGCATTTAAGATCTTACTGATCTGATTTCTCTATCTTGAAGTTTGCAGTTACAGGAATAAGCATCGTCTCTATAAGGACACGCCACTTCTGCATCCGTGCAGTTCAGAACCGTTTCCTTCAGACATTCCCTGTAGAATATACAAAGTTGTATTTCAGTGTGCTTTAGTGGAACTTCCTGTATATGCTAACTGACAAACAGTCTCACAGCACCTGCAGAAGCTATGCAGGCACTCTCTCAGCACGGCACCCTCTCCTGGCATGATGGTGCAAAAGCAGATGGCACAATCCAGCTCATCCACGTTCCCCACCAGACTGCGGGAATCCGTTTCCAGGAGTTCTTGGAAATTCCTCTCCCGTTCATCCTTAACAGACTACATAAATAAACGGACAGGCCACATGCGTTATATTTCTGTTTTTTATGCAGTATTAATAGATGAAAACAGGAAAAGCCACTGTTGTAAAAAAAGTTACATGATATATACGCAATATATGTGTATCATTTATAAATTACACAATATCTAATAGGACTCTAAAATTTTTTGTTTTTTTTTATAAAAATGTAACTAATAATTACTACAAAAACCTCTAATTACAATTATTTATTATATACCTAATAATATTCATTAATAATAATGATATATTTATAATTATATAATCATTATTAATTTATTATAGCATTTTATCATATTGGTAGATACAAAGGACTAATTGGGAACCAAAAGATCTAGATTTTTCTTTAAATTCTCAACAGGATCCTTTAAGATCTACATTCCACCAAAAAAAAAAGCAATCGTTTGGATTTTTTTATTCGTGCATAAAATTAATTAAGGTTTGCTTTAATGATTAAAACATTCATTTTTGTTTACTAGTTCAGTGAACAACAAATTATAAACTTTTTTGCTGCAAAGTACATCCATATGAAGGCTCTCTAAATGTTCCCCATTTTCACTTTCCATTCATTCTTTTTAAACAATAAAGCTTTGTTGATGCAGACACAACGTTCGGTATTTCCACAGTTTGTTCCACAGATGTAAACCTGGTGTTTTTGAGCGGTTTTCATCCCACAGTCCAATCTAACAGTTCATTGTAGTCCAGTGTGTTGTGTCCCCTCAGCTAACCTGCTTGTACTGCAGGCTGGCGAGTTCCTCCTGCTGGAGTCTCCTGGTTTCTGCCTCGTCCGGCTGGTATATGTCAGGCACTTTATAGTTGTCAGGTCTCGCTGTGCTGCACATCTCACAACCCGGACGTGTCGGTTTATTCATAAACGTGCAGCCAGGACATGACCAACCCGACTATAAAACCAAATAAAATTATTAGAATTATGATTGATAGATAGATAGATAGATAGATAGATAGATAGAGCAACAGCCAGAATGATAGATAGAGCGTCAGATAAAGCAACAGAATAAAAGATAGAATAAGAGAGCAACAGACAGAGCGACAGAATGATAGCACAACAAATAGAATGATAGAGTGACAAGACAGAATAGATAAAGTGAAAGATAGAGTGTCAGAACCATGGAAAGTGCAACAGACAGAATAAGGGATGGAGCTACAGATAGAATGATAGCTAGAGCGACAGAGATAGAACCTACAGTAGCTAGAGCAACAGATAGAAGAGCTATAGACAGAATGATAGAGCGACAGATAGAATGATAGATAAAGTGACAGATAGAGCACCAGAACCACAGATAGTGGCAGATGAAATGACAAAACAATAGATAGAGATACAGATAGAATGACAGAGCAACAGAGAACGATAAATAAAGCAACGGATGAAAGACAGAGTGACAGAATGAAAGATAGAATGATGTAGCGGTAGTAAGAATTATAGATAAAGTGACAGATAGAGCGCCAGAACCATAGATAGAGCAACAGATAAAATGACAAAACGATAGATAGAGCTAAAAATAGAATGACTGCAGAGCGACAGAGATAGAACCTACAGTAGCTAGAGCAACAGATAGAAGAGCTATAGACAGAATGATAGAGCGACAGATAGAATGATAGATAAAGTGACAGATAGAGCACCAGAACCACAGACAGTGGCAGATGAAATGACAAAACAATAGATAGAGATACAGATAGAATGACAGAGCAACAGAGAACGATAAATAAAGCAACGGATGAAAGACAGAGTGACAGAATGAAAGATAGAATGATGTAGCGGTAGTAAGAATTATAGATAAAGTGACAGATAGAGCGCCAGAACCATCGATAGAGCAACAGATAAAATGACAAAACGATAGATAAGAGCTAAAAATAGAATGACTGCAACAGAGAACATGACAGATAAGGTCACAGATGAATGAAAAGATGAATGATAGAGTTACAGAATGAAAGCTAGAACAATAGAGCATCATATAGAATGACAGCTAGAGCTATAGACAGAACGGGCAACAAATAGAATTGATGGAGCGGCAGAAAGAACGATAGATAAAGTAACAGACAGAGTGACAGAACCATAGATAGAGCAACAGATAAAACGACAAAATGATAGATAGAGCTACAAACAGAATGACTGCAACAGAGAACGATAGATAGTGACAGATGAATGAAAAGATGAAAGATAGAGTGATGTATAGTCACAGAATGAAAGATTGAACAATAGAGCGACATAGAACGAGAGCTAGAGCTATAAACAATGACAGAACGATATAGAACAGCAAATAGAATTGATGGAGTGGCAGAAAGAACGATAGATAAAGTAACAGACAGAGTGACAGAACCATAGATAGAGCAACAGATAAAATGACAAAACGATAGATAGAGCTACAAATAGAATGACTGCAACAGAGAACGTGACAGATGAATGAAAATATCAAAGATAGAGTTACAGAATGAAAGATAGAACAATAGAGCGTCATATAGAATGACAGCTAGAGCTATAGACAGAACGAGCAACAAATAGAATGATGGAGCGGCAGAAAGAACGATAGATAAAGTGACAGATAGAGTGCCAGAACCATAGATAGAGCAACAGATAAAATGATTAATAGAATGATAGATATATAGATATAAAGACAAAAAGAACAATACATAGAACAACAGATTGAACGATAGAGCTACAGAATGACAGACAGACAGACCTGAGGTTTGGGAGGTAGAGGAGGGCGATTGGCTCCTCTGGAGATGAGCTCTGGTGGCCGATGAGGTGGACGATCAATGATCCCGATTATATCTTCATTAAGAAAGAAATGCGTTTCAGTAAACTCCTATTTATTATACAAGCTATTTTTTTTTTAAATCAGAAATATAGGCCAGATACCATCAATCCGTCTGTCCTCTTTCTCTTTTCTCTCTTGTTCCCGGCTCAGATTGGCAGCCTGGGCAGAAAGGATGAAGAGGAAGGCAGAATCGTCGTGGTTTCTGACCCCATAATGATACAAGGTTTCCCTGTCCTGGGCGAGACGCTTCGAGATCACCCAACGCTGGAGGGCCGGGTGAAAGCCATAGTCACGACTGATCTGAAAAACAAATCACGAAATTACTAAAATGTAAATGAGGGCCCCAGTTAAACTATAATTTTGGGTTTCGGTGTCAAACAAGAATTTTCTTCTCGGGTCCATAACTAACACTATTTACCTTTTCTTTCAGCTCTGAGATTGTCATGTAAACTGGTACCATCACTGTTATTGGGATGTGGGCGTCTGATGCGGCGTCCGCCACTCCTACTCTCAACCTGCGTTCATACAAAGCAAATCAAAACCATCACATATAGTTACAGATCCCCAGCAACAAGTGTTTCTCACCGTAATTAAACCAGTCTAACAGCATACCTGATGCTGTCTTCAGAGTACGCTTCAGGATTTATTTTGACACACACTGGGAGTTTCAGATCCAAAAGTTGATCCAGGTATTTGGTCGCTTCATCTTTGTCTCCAGAGTTGATGGCGTCACTCAGCATTTGAGCTGCGTCCTCCGCTGCTGAGACAGCCAAGATGTGATGTTAACATGTTGCTGTGTTGAAAGTCGGTCTTATGATATATATATTTATTGTATAATACATTTACTCACCTTCTTTTATATTTCTAGAGGCATCTAGGGCAGCCATACTTTCACCTCGAAACCTTAAAAATAAAAAAATAAATATTATTTTAAATAGTTAATATAGTTTTTGAAAAATGACTAAATATTAAACATTTAATAAATATAACTATTTGTTTATTTCATACATTAAAATACATTTTAAATATAAACATTAGTTTTATATTATATATAAATATATATTATTGTATAAAAATACCATGGTTTATTTAATTGTTTTAAATAGTTACTATATTTAAATAAATATATTCAAATATTTTATTACAATAAATATCAAATGTATATTATAGTAAATGTCCAAACCTATAGTAAATTATAGTATATACAAAAACAAAAAAAACAAAGCAATACAATAGTTCGAGCAACAATTTTTTTAATAGTTAATGCATTTAATATATTATAACTAATAATCAAATATTTTTAAATATTTTATCAAATATAATAAAAATATTTACAATATTATTATATCTAAATATATATTAAAGTATATGTCCAAACCACATAAGCAATACCATGATATTTTTGTAGATATTGAATCCCCATCTAAAAAAGTACTGTGGTCGTACCATGGTATTTTTATATACGCAGTGGTACTGAATGGCAATTCCAGAATACTACACTCAGACATGTTTAAAATATATGCCATCATCACCAAGGTTTTTGTTCATGTAAGTTTAAATAAAATCATAATAGAAATTACTCAATAAAAATACATAAGTGTACTACATATTTTTAGCCTTTATGTAACCGACCAACTTAACCAGCTAAACGAATATTTAACAAGCGCTCGTTCAGCTCAACAGCAGAGACAGTGAAAAACATGTGGAAATAAACTTACCAACCATAGGATAACCGTATTTAAAACACTCTTCGTGTTCGTATTTGTATTTTAAACGACACAGTGTTGATCAAAACATCCGTGCTCTTCTCAAAACCAGGGAAGTTTACAGAAATGAAAAGTGAAACGAAGTGTATCAGGAAGTTTCCAGTCAGGAAAGTCTCAACAGAGAATTGCGCAACTTCATAAAACACAGATGCGGAAGACATTCTCAGATGAAATTCAGTTCACTATAACATTTATGCTATAAAATACTACTACTACTACTAATAATAATAGTTTTAACAAAAAAACAAGCAGAAAAATACAAAGAATTAAAATGAACTAGAAAATAAAAAAATACCAGTAACTAAAAACCGAAGTATTTTAACAAAAAGTTATCAATAAATATGTTAGCTTTCGCTGAATCTATCTTGAAAAAATATATATTGTCCGTCATCACGTTATGAATAATTAATTTCCCTGTTGTTGTTTAATTCATTTAGTGACTTTTATCGAAGTGTTCTCGCGAGATTTGACAGAACGAGAGGGCGCATGGCGCTGCGCATGCTGTGAATAAAGGACAAACACGACCTGTAATTTTGTACGTTTATCTGTTTTCTGACCTCTTAACAGTTAGTTGTTTAATTTAATATTTAAATGCAGCATGTTGTTTTACATAGCGGCTAGAGACTCTTACTAGTATAAGTGTTTTTAGAGTTAGAAGCTAATACACAGCTGGCACGTGAGCTGGAAGACATGGAGCTTCCATAAATGTGTGAAATACTCTAATTATTCACCATTGTAAAGAATACTGCGACAGTACCGTGAGACAGATGGTTATACCATGTTGCTTTGTCATATATCTTGTTACTATATTCGTATTGAATATGGAACTCAGCTTTTGTATGCATTGACATATCTTGACATATTCTTGTAGTCATCAGCACTGTTAATTTATATGAATTAATGAGTTTTTATCTTTCTTCATTTAAGCATACTCGCAGACCTTTTGAGTCATATATCTTGTTACTATATTCGTATTGAATATGGAACTCAGCTTTTGTATGCATTGACATATCTTGACATATTCTTGTAGTAATCAGCACTGTTAATTTATATAAATTAATGAGTTTTTATCTTTCTTCATTTAAGCATACTCGCAGACCTTTTGGAAAGATTTCCGTGTCAAACTGCAAGTTATGGAGGAACCTTCAAAATTTGAGCGATATGTGTACAAAAATGATTCAGTTTACCATTATATGAAGATATCTCTGTAAGTGTCATGAGACAGGTCAGTTTTGATCTGGTCATTTTTAATGCAATATTTAGATGGTGCACATAAAATGGTCAAACCACTTAATTTGTTTCTTTGGCGTTTTTTATTTTTAGAGTTTTGGAAAATGGAAACAAATATATTACTGATGCACAGTTCAAACAACTGATCACCTGTGGACTTAAAGACCTGTACGGAGAGGTAAGCACATAGTATGTCTCTCTTTGTTTACAATTTAAGAGTGTAACAATGCAGTTATGATTCTTTACAAAATAATGCAATACATCATGAAATTTGAAATATTAGGATTCATGTCGATTTGGTTTGCTACAATTCATTCTTTTTTTTGTAGAAGCAGGCACAAAAATAGATTTTGGATAAGCATAATACATTGAGAATTGCTCATTTAATCATAAATGATGCCAAAATGTAAAATAATTATATGTAATAATAATTATAAATAATTAATAAATGACTTAAATTCTTTAGGCTAGTCAATAAATAATATTTTAATTTTGAATGAAATATTTTAATGATCAAGTCTTTTATATAATAAAAATATAAATAACTAGAAAACTAATAAAATATAAGAAAAAATAATAAAATGAAGAAAACATTTAATTCTTCTATATTCTTTACAGTCCATAGACCATTTTCTGTGTTGTATATAATATGAGCTGTAGTAAATAATTTGTTTTGACTTAATTTGTATGGCAGGTTGGAGCTTCTTTTCCATTTGATTTGCTTAAGTTTGATCAGAACGAACTGACCGGGATACTGAGAGTGTACAACAGGTAAAACATGCTCATAAAACAAATCTCGTACGTTTAGGCCAAAGTGTTTAAACATGGTTTACTTGAGGTACAGAGCTGTTTATAAACATGGAGAAACTTGGGGTGTCCCTCAGGGCTCAAGTTTAGGACCGTTTTAATTGCAAAATTGTGTAGTAATTAGCGTTTGAAATGCAGAGCAGACAGTTTTTTTCTGAAATTAATAAATACTTATGGATTTGTCCAACCCATTTTGTCAGTCTAATCATGTTCAGTCTTAATATTCTGTTGTTTCTTTATCTTAGCGGGCTGGTGAAATTGTGGAGTGCATTAACATTACTGGGATCGTATCAGAATGAGGCTTGTGCATTCAGAGTCATGCAGGTACGTTTTCCCCAGTGTTGAAGCTGATTCAACATTTACTTTGCCCTGAGTTTGCAGTCTGTTGGCACTAGATGTCAGTAAAAAGCTTGTGGCTCAATTGTAAATCTGCCAGGAATGACTAGACACAATTTAACGTGACCATTGGCATTCTGTCAGCCAAACTGTGTGTACTTTGCAATTTGCATCAGATTGCTGATGGGCAGTTACTGTGGCAGCTGTTTATCTAGTTCACCCCACTGAATTTCTAATCCATGTCACAGACATAAGGGTTAAATGCAACTCTAATTTTCTTTTTATTTATCATTGCAGGTGTCGCCGTTTTTGCTAGCATTGTCCGGGAATAGCCGTGAGCTTCAGTTTGGAGACCAGTTGACATTGTGAGGTGGGCCTACAAAAAATACCTTGGAAAAAATGACATTTTTTCTCAGAAGAAGTATTTTCAGCAGAAATGTATACCATTTTGTCAACTCAGCATTGACGGTTCCCGCATCCCTCACAGTAGGGCACAGGTCGCTTTACGTGGGTGAACGGGCCTCGCTAAACAAAACATTCAGTGCCAGAGACGTCACACTTTTTGCTGAGCTGACGGGGGACACAAATCCTCTCCACCTCGACCCCGAATATGCCAAAACAACCTCTTTCGAGACCCCTATTGTTCACGGAGTGCTGATTAATGGTCTGATCTCAGCAGTTCTGGGGACCAAGTTGCCCGGCAAAGGCTGTGTGTTTCTCTACCAGGAAATACGGTTTCCGGCGCCTCTCTACATCGGAGAGGAGGTTGTGGCGGAAGCGGTGGTCAAAAAGATCAAAATGTCCTTCGCTTTTATTTCTGTTTCCTGCGCCGTCAAAGACAAGGTGGTCATGGAGGGAGAGGTCATGGTCATGATGCCACAAGACGCACAACAATCATGAGGAATTTGAGTGACTGTTGCCGTTCAGTTTTTTATGTGCTCCCAGGAATTAAATGCTCTTTCTTGCTTATTTTTGTTCTTCTGAAATGTTACGCTCATTCAGAGATTAAATATTCCTTGTTTTTTGTTCTCTGAGAAGCTGTTTGAATAAAAATAGTGTCAGAAAATAAACAGCTTTTTGACTTCATTGTTTGGTGTGGGCAATAACTGGCTGTGTCTAACCTCAAAAAGGAGATCATTTTCGAATACTTTCAAACAGTTATTTAAAATCGTTATTTAAAAATCATAAGGTTAACATAATAGTAGTAAAATTACATGAAATGAACCAGCTAATGTCAACTTTCAAACAAAATCAGTTTTCCCCAGTATAACTTCAACCCAAGTTTTTCAAATAACCTTTGTCATCGTTCTCGGTCCTTTAACTTTTCCCATTCTTTCTCTTTGGGTTAGTGGAAAAACTAATACACACATGATACTTACATGTATATATTAATGCAATATTAATAATATACATGCATGCATACATACATTTTTCTCAGACCTTTGTTTTAATATTTGGCTCTGCTTTATGTTTGTACATTATGTGCAAACAATGATATGTATTTCTGAAAACTATAATCTAATGTTTGACTGCTTCATATTTGTACATTATATGGAAATAATCACACTGTAAATACAGAAACGAGAACTCGCCGAGTGCTGTTTACATTGAGTCACATGTTACTCCGTCTGGTCACATGATGTCCCCTTGACAACATTTAGCTTCACTGCTAGCAGCTTCGCAAAGATGCAACGCTTGTGTTACAAACCTCAAATGAAAATTAATAACAACAGGCGCATAAATAAAGTTGAAACTGGTTTGTTTGTTACTTCGTGAAGTTTCATTTTATTCCGAGCCCCACAAAAAATAATATGATTGAATTTAGCCGTGAGCCCCATGAGGTTTCCTGTTTGAGGGTATTTACTAAAACATGGCGTCAGTTCTTTTTTCTCTCCTTTTTATTGCAAGAAGAACACATCACAAGCACTATATACAAATATAAATCATTTTACATATATGTTTTTATTTACATAAACAATATATCAGTCTAAAAAAATGCGGCGTCATTCACTTTCACTCGATAGTGCGCACTACAGAGTGGACGAGCTCCCCTCCGCCGAAACATCTACGTCAGATTTCACTGGCACTTTCTGATTCGTTTCTCCCACGTTGTCACAAGCACAGACGCGCAGTGAACCGTCACATCCCTTTACCGACCGAGGCGGGCTCTCGGTAACCGAACCCTGTCGAACCGGGGCTGTTTGGTGTTGTTTTGGTCCGGGATGGCGTTCATGGAGCAGCAGCCGCAGCCGTTGTCCGGCAGGAAGCCGCCGCTGGACGACACCGTGCCGCTGATCGCCGTGATCGAGGCCAGCCAGAGTTTACAGTCACACACGGTAAACGGCACAACCGGAGCCGCGCGGATCGCTGTTTATGTTTGCGCGGAGACGCGGACGTTGTCGATTAGACCGATCCGCATCCGTTAAACCTTTGATATTGATTACAAATACGCATTTAAATGTTAGTAAAACAAATATTGAAAAGGGTTTAAAGTCAAACTTCAGGTTGCATGTCGTTTTTTATGATTAACCTTGTTGTTTCTCGATTATTTGTCGATTAATATCAGATTAATCGCATTTGTTGTCCGTATAAGATTAGTTTTTGTTTAGATGTTTAATGTTCATGTCAGTTGTCAATACTGGAACAACTAGTGTACATTTTGTAGTGTAAATATTTGTAAATGTAAAAGCATCCTTCTGAATTAAGAAATATCAGCAACTAACATTTTATTTTTAACATTAATTTTAAGATTTCGCAAACAAATATCAAATTTGAATGAAGTGATGAAGAAATAGTGGCGTTTGAAATTGTTTAACAAGACTTTTTATTTTAATATTTATTTATTTATGATATAATCAACATAATCGACTTTAAAAGAAAGTTATATGTATATTACTTTGTTGATTTCGATTTTGTCTATCAATTTATTAATTTAATAAGATTAAACAACATTCAAATAAGCTATTTTCAAAAAAGATCTCATATACTGTAGATCTCATGTGACATGTAAACTAGACTAGATCTGTTTATGTTGATTTACTGGTGGAATTGAAAATTTATCATTTGCATTTGTGCAGAAAGACATTTCCTCTTGCTGTGAAACCAAAGCCACAAGAGATACGAGTGTTTCCGTTCACGTTTATTCATCTATTCGTTTCTCATATTCACTCATATGAAAGTGCAATCTAGTAAACTGCTTTCAATTCTATGTTGCGTAAACTTTACAGACCGTTAAATGTTTTGTTTTTTAGATTCAGGGTAGATGAACAACTAGACTGTAATCATCAGTTACATGATTAATTATATATATTTAATGTTACTTTGAAAGCTGAAAGTCACAATGTTGATGTGTCTTAAATAATCACAATAACGGATGTGATCTGAAATAGTGTTGCGAATGGAAACTGATCACCTTTGCTCTTGTTTTAGTCTAATGGAAACTATCAGGTGACGTTTTGAAGGAGAGTCAAACATTAATGCGAATAAGAAGTGGCTGTAAGTGTCAGGGTCAGCGTGAGGTTTTGGAGACTCTGTTACATTTGGCCTTTTCACTTCCTGCTTTGGTCTTGCTTCACAGTTCAGCTGTAAAAACCACAAATCTGTGACAACGTGACTTTGGTCTCTTGAATGCCCAATATTGTGAAGAAGAAGAAGAAAAAAACAAAGATGGCTTGTTAGGCTGGTTTCCACTAGTCAGGCTGAACTAGTTTGGTGATTTGGGGGTGAAGACCAGCTGAACCTGTTTTTTTTTTCAGCAGGGTCTTTATTATATTACTAGTTTTAATGTATATTTGCTGCTGTGGATTCAGTCATCATTGTTCGTCTCTGTTAACAGGAGTACATCATTCGTGTACAGAGGGGCGTTTCCACAGAAAACAGCTGGACGGTGAGTTAGATCTATCTGTCTGTCCATCTATCTGTCTATCTGTCTGTTTATCTGTCTGTCCATCAATCTGTCTATCCGTCTGTTTATCTATCTGTCTGTCCATCTATCTGTCTATCCGTCTGTTTATCTATCTGTCTGTCTATCTATCCATCTACTGTCAATCTGTGTATCTATCTATCTGACTATCCCTCTGCCTGTCGTCTGTCTGTCTGTCTATGTATCGTCTGTCTATCTATTGTTTGTCTGTCTGTCTACTGTCGGTATGTCTATCTATCTATCCATCTATCTTCCTTTGCCTGTCATCTATTTATCTGTCTGTCTGTCTGTCGTCTATCCATCTATCTATCTGTCTGTCTGTCATCTGTCTATCGTCTGTCTATCTATCTTCTGTTTGTCTATCCATCTGTCTTTCCATCTGTCTGTCCGTCTTGTTATCTATCTGTCTATCTATCCCTCTGCTTGTTATCTATCTATCTGCCCAACTGTCTGTCATCTGTCTATCTATCTATCTATTGTATGTCTGTCTATCTGTCTGTCCGTCGTCAATCTATTGTATGTCTGTCTATTTTCTGTCTGTCTATCCATTTATGTGTCTCTGTTATCTATCTATCTATCTATTGTATGTCTGTGTGTCTGTCTGTCTGTCTGTCCATCATCAATCTCTCTCTCTCTGATTTTTGTTCTGATTTTCACAGGTCATCCGCAGATACAGCGATTTTGACATGCTGAATAATAGTTTACTGGTAAGTGGACCGTTAGAACAAGCCGTATAAGCATTTGACAGCCGCTGTTTCAAGATAAATTGAAAAGCATTGCTGGGATGTCTCAGTGGCAATGATTCACTCTTGCTGAGTCCTCAAAAACTCACAGGCCTCAGAAAGCTTTTAACATTAGCCTTCCCATCCGTGAAAGAGTAACTATGAGTCAGTCTCTCTGTCTTCACAGATCTCCGGCCTCAACCTGCCACTTCCTCCTAAGAAGCTGTTAGGAAACATGGACCGAGAGTTTATAGCCGAGCGTCAGAAGGGTCTCCAGGCCTATCTGAACTACATCACACGTCACCACATCCTCTCCAGCTGTGAGCTGGTCAAAAAGTTTCTCGACACTAACAATTACTCCGTAACCTACACAGGTAATGCAACCAGGGCATATTTTAACACTAAAAAATTTGTTTTTGCATCAAAATTATTTGTAAAATCCTCCACTTCCTTCTTTTTTTCAGAAATAGCCTTACAGCAGGTGTCCATGTTCTTCAGATCCGATCCAAAATGGGAAGTTATTGAGCCGTTAAAAGACATTGGTGAGTAAAGCAGTTTAGTTACTTCCGTCCAATTTCATTTCATATTATATTATACTTTTATAAAAATATTTTGTTATTGATTTTTTTACTTTCATTTTTTATATGAAACAGAATTGGTTTTTACATTGACCATGAATGATTACGCTGTCAGCCTTGAGATACATCACAACTATAAAAGTTAATGATTTAACTGTTATTGATTTGTTTCTCCCAATGACTTTATATATAGCGTCAGGCGTTGGTTTACTTTGACACATTTAGTATTCCTGACACCTTGATGGATTTCAGAGGCTCATGGGAAATCTTTTGTCCTCTAAAAACAGCCTGAGTTTCACAGCCGAGACACATTTGAGAAGAAACTTGCTTGTTTCTTTTAGAGGAAGATTCATTAATAAAAATGTAACATTTACCTTGACATGTTCAAATATTGTAATTTTACCACAAAATCAAAAGGAAAAATAGGAAAGTATATTTCATTTCAGTAAAATAAAGGCTATATGTAGGACTTTTTCCATTATAGTATTATTTTTTAAGAAAAATTAAGGTAATTTCCTGCAATATGTCATTACCGTAATCCTCATTACTGTAATGCAAAATATATATTATTTTAAAATTATTTCATTTAAAATGTACATTTGTAAAATATAGAAAAAAATGTAAGTTTATTACAGTATTATCGTCAAAAGTAAATAGTAAATTTGATTTTTTTGGATTTTTACGCGTTGCAGTAGTGAAAATTTAAAGCAGAAAATATGCTTTTTTTTTTTTTTAATTAACCTCACAATGCAAAAATTTTAATATTTTATTATTATAATGTTTTTATTTTCTAATATTGGTTTGAAATGTGACATTTATACATGAAATGTATCCAATCATCTAATATCTGTCTTGTCATAGGCTGGCGATTGAGAAAGAGGTACTTCCTAGTCAAAGACAAAGATCAACCCAAAGACAAACAAGTATTAAGTTGGGTAAGTTTCATTTTGACCCATACACAAACAGAACCAACCTTTTCCTGGATTCTCCTGCTCTGTTAATCAAGTACTTTGACCCTCAGCGTGTTTAATTCCCATTATTGCATAACCCTGATGAAGTCGTTCCTGTTGATCGCATTCAACGCCACTTTGTTTGGCTGCACAAAGAACTTAACTAACCTACTAATCTCTCCTGATGTATTTGTGTTCATTCACTTCTATAATTAGCTTTGTGTGACCCTTGTACCGACCATAATACATTTCTTTACCAATTATAGGTGGATTTGGGTCCAGATAAGTTCCTGTCCGACAAAGACCTCCAGTCTGCAATGAAGCTGCTTCCAACTCTGTCTGTAAGTCGTAAAAGTTATATCAGGATATCAGAGCGTTGTTATGTGGTTGCAAAAATGTTTTGAGCGGTTTTATGGTGTTGCTAGGAAGATTTGGCTGGTTTTTCGGGCCTAAAACAAACGTACAACCATATAGATTGCAAATCAATTCAGCATAAATAAAATAGTAAAAATATTATTGTAGTGTGTATATACAGCGCCGTTGCGCTACAGGCGTCCCGAGTTCGAATCCCAACTCAAGGACCTTTTCCGATCCCGCCCCCTATCTCGCTCCCACTTCACTTCCTGCCAGTTCCGATCTGTCATGTCATAATAAAGGCCATAAAAATGCCAAAAATATCTATATTATTGTAGTGTAATGATATTTTAGTAATCATTTGACATTATTTTCATGACAATTACGCACCGTTTCCTTGCTGTTATTGTAATGCAAAACGAATAAGAGTATATAATTTCAATTTTACTGTGTAAAGCTGTTAAGCAGAGCCGACGTGCTGTCAGGACTGAACTAAAAGAGCCTGTCTTTGTGTACAGACCCGAATGTTTGGATGTTTTGTGTGTGAACGCTGTCATGTGCTCTTGTTTTTCCTGCTTCCTCAACGTCAGCAGTCGTACAGCGAGATTAAACAGATCACTGCGAGAAACACAGCTCTACAAAAGACACACAGTGGAAATCATGTGTAGACACCCGAACACAATCCACCCCGTTATTTATACAATATAACAATTTTGTCTCAGAAATTGCTAGAAATGTATCAATTAACTACAAAAGAAAAGCAAATAACACATTGAATTAAACATGAAATTTTGAAGTAGAAAGACTGAACTAGTATATTTTTTTTAAAGTGTAATCTTGGTTTCATTTAGAACCTAAAGTTGATATTTTAAAAATATTTTACAGTTTATAAATATATAAACTGTATATAAAACTGTAGTTTTTATGGATATTTTAACATTTTATTAATATTTTTAAATAAGTTTTCATTTTTTATTTTCAGTTCTCATTTTAATACAAATATACAGTGTAGTTTTTTTTATTATTATTAAATTAGATTTTATTTTTCTATTTTTGGTTCTCTTTTTAATACAAATATATAGTGTTGTTTTTATTATTTTTAAATTAGCTTTTATTTTAATATTTTCAGTTGCATAGGTCATACAAGACTGGCTCATGCATTCTTGCTTAAAGGGGAGTTATTTAGTATAATTTTGCCAGAAAAACTTTTTTAGAATTTTTATCGTATGTTAATGTAAAAAATCTTGTGTAATATAACTTGTGTTTGTTTGTTTGCTGTTTTTTTTTTTTTTTGTATTTGTATTTGTTATACTTGTATTTTTTAATTGTTTTTGCCATGAAAATAGCCTAAGATGCTGACATGGCATTAAATAAATGTATACTACTCCTACTATATTTTCAGTTCTTATTTAAATACAAATATACAGTGTAGCTTTTCTTAATATTTTTGAATTAGATTTTATTTTTCTATTTTGGTTCTTATTTTAATACAAATAGATAGTAGTTTTTATTATTATTTAGGTTTAAGACATTAAATATAAGAGTTTGCAGGTTTTTTCATAATTGTAATAGTATTGAAATTATTATAAATTATAATGAAATGTGTCAAATAAATAGGTATGTTTAAATAACTAATATTTATACATTTAATGGAAAAATACAATGTTATTGTTAAATATGAAGGCTTAAAACTATCCATAATGTATAATTATTTAAAAATTTTAGTTTTAGGTTTGTTTGTTTTTTCCATTTAGTAACTTAAACTTATTTGAGTTTGGTGCTAAGGCATAGTTTTTTCATCTAAAATTTCTGTATTATTTTATTTCAGCTTTATTTCGAATAGTATTAATTTTAATAGTTTTAGTTTTAGTTAATATTCCATGTAATACCGTGGAAAAGGGTTACTTGAAGACAAATGATCAGTCAGATGGAGGAGCCGTCTGACGTCTGCATTCCAGATGAGCAGATTAAAGCAATCCAACCGAGATGCACGTTACTCAGGAAAGCATGACACAGTCATTTCTGACCATGAGGCTCATGGGAAAACATGTCAGACATCTGAATTCTGAATTCAGCTGCATAGAAATACCCTCATAACTCCATGTCCTTGTCCTGAAAGTGTCTTTTGCATGGACGAAAACACTGCGAGTGTTTGTATGTGTCTGACTGCAGCTGTTTTTGTATTTTTCCATAGCATTCAAACATCTCTCCCGTCAGTTTCGCTACAACCAGTGAATCGTCTGCTCTAGTCATTCGAGTTTTCAGCGAGAAAGGAACGCTTAGGGATCACATCTGCAAGGTTCGCTTTCTTTACCTAGAGTGATCAAATATTATAAATTAAAACATACTTGTATTTCTTGTAATTCTGTCTTGAATTTTGTGGATTCTTCAGGTGAAGCCCAAAGAGCCCTTTCTGAAGAAGTACTGCAATCCCAAAAAGATCCAGGGTTTGGAGCAGCAGCAGATCCGAACCTACGGAAGACAGATTCTGGAGGTCTGGTTAACAGTTTATGTTCATAAAAACCAGTTTACAGGAATTTGTAGACTTTTTTTCCTGTGCTTTTAAAGGGTTAGTTCACCCAAAAATGAAAAAAAAATTCTGTCGTTAATTACTCACACTCATGAACTCATGGTTCCAAACCCGTAAGACCTCCGTTCATCTTCGGTACACAAATTAAGATATTTTTGATGAATTCTGAGAGCTCTCTGACCCTCCCATAGACAGCAATGTAATTACCACGATCAAGGTCCAGAAACGTAGCAAGGAGATCGGTAAAATAATTCATGTGACATCAGGGGTTCAACCGTAATTTTACGAAGCTACGAGAATACTTTTTGTACGCAAAGAAAACAAAAATAACGACTTTATTCAACAATTCGTCTCCTCCGCATCACCCTAGCGCCATTTTGGAGAATATCCACTGAACATAAACAGCGTATGCTATTCTGTGTCAGCTGCGTCACGTGGATACGTTGTTTTCGTTCAAATCAATGTGTAAACAACGTAGAAAACGTATCCGCATGACGAATAAAGTCGTTATTTTTGTTTTCTTTGCGTACAAAAGTATTCTCGTAGCTTCGTAAAATTACGGTTGAACCCCTGATGTCACATGGATTATTTTACCGATCTCCTTGCTACGTTTCTGGACCTTGATCGTGTAAGGACCCTTGCTGTCTATGGGAGGGTCAGAGAGCTCTCGGATTTCATCAAAAATATCTTAATTTGTGTTCCGAAGATGAACAGGTCTTACGGGTTTAGAACGACATGAGGGTGAGTAATTAATAACAGAATTTTAATTTTTGGGTGAACTAACCCTTTAATGCAGCGCTGTAGATATTTCTCAAACATCCTGTTTAAGGTTTGTTTTAAACCTCTATTCTGCTTTTATTTAAGCCTGAACGGCTTAACATCCATCCATTGGGATTTATGCTCAAGAGATTTTTAAAGAAAGGTTTAAATTTGAACGTCTCCCATTGCTGTCAGTTGTTTGCATTCATTATCTGACAACAGTGATGTCGTTTTAATATTTGCATACTGAATTGACATTGGCGTTTATTTGCATACAGAATTATATTTGATCTTTTCTTTTTTGCATCTGTTTTACTCATCCACATATGCCTTGTTCAAAAGATTTTTGAGGAAAATAATACTTGTATTTAGCAAGATGTATTAGTTTGATCATAAATGACAGTAAAGACAATAATGTTACAAAATATTTCTGTTTTAAATAAATGCTGTTCTTTTGAACTTTCTATTCAGCAAAAAAAACAAATGTATCGCAGTTTGCACAAAAATATGAAGCAACACAACTGTTTTCAACATTTATAGTAGTAGAAATGTTTCTTGAGCAGCAAATCAGCATATTAGAATGATTTCTGAAGGATCATGTGACTATGAAGACTGGAGTAATGATGCTGAAAATTAGGGCTGCACAATAAATCGCATGCGATATTGTCAGTACTTTACTTGTCAGTAAAGCCGGTTCTGTAATCAGCGGTAAATCTCCATCACATGCGTGCTTTCACATTGAGCAGCATTAACTACACAGAGCCGTTGTTCACTGACGAGCTGCGCAAAACCACGTTCATATTCACGCGATTTTTTGAGCAGCTCGTCAGTGAACAACAGCTCTGTGTAGTTAATGCTGCTCAATGTGAAAGCATGCAGGTGATGGAGATTTACCGCTGATTACAGAACCGGCTTTCTGACAAGATGCGCATTAAATATCGCATGCGATTTATCGTGCAGCCCTACTGAAAATTCAGCTTTGCATCACAGGAATAAATAAAATTTTAAGATATATGATAATACAAAAAAACATATTTTAAATTATAATAATATTTCACAATATTACTGTATTTTTGATCAAATACATTTCTTTCAAAAAATGTAAAAAACCCACAAAAAAAGTAAATTTAGTTTACTAACTCTTATTTAAACCTCAAATTTTAAGCAGCTCTTTTTTTGCTGTACTTCTTTCTGGAAATGTAAATATGTAATTTCCTGTAAATATGCAATTTTCTGTTTTCTTCCAGGCACTAAAATTTCTCCATGACAAGGGTTTTCCGTATGGGCATCTTCATGCGTCTAACGTCCTGATCGAGGAGAACACGTGTAAATTGTTGGATATAGAGAATTCTTTACTGGGACTGCCGTCATATTACCGACCCTACGTAACACAGTTCAGGAAAATTAATGTGAGATAACCTTATTTTTTTGTTTTCTTTTAGTAGTAAACTATTTAAATATTAGTAATTAAGATATGTGATTTTAAAAAGCTGATGTTTTTCGTTTTATAAGACAACAGAAAGCATAGACGTCTACTCGTTTGGACATTTGCTTTATGAAATGACGTATGGCCGCCCGCCTGACGCTGTGCCTGTGGATCAGTATCCTCCAGCTCCGTTCTCATCCATAGGTCAGTATGTAAAAAAAAAATGCATTTAAACATGCATAATTTGAGCGTAGTAGTCTCTTATTGTAAGCTAGAAGCAAAATCAAATTAGCCAAAATATGTGTCGGAGTTTACAGGCTTTTATTAGCATGGATGCCATATGTGTAATAGGTTAGATAGTTAAAGTTCATTTAATAAGTTGAACTTGCCCTTTTAAGGTACAGAACATTGGCTGTTGTTCAGTTGAATCCATACAGCAGTAATCTCTAAGTATGTTGTGTTGTGGGTCATATGTGTGTAGTTAATTGTTTTATGTAATATGTAACTGCTTGTTTTCTGTTTTCCCACAGTGTCTGTACTTCAGTCCATCCTGTCCACGGAGGCTTGCAAAACGGGAATGCCAACCGTTTCCCAACTCCTACAAACACCGTGAGTTACGATATTCAGACCTGCTTGTGCTCAGGAGTGAATCTCACAAAAATATCTTATTCCTTTTGGAACTAATTTTGCAATTAGTTAAAATTTATTTTTTTTATATTATTTTTCTCACATATATTTTATATAGTCTTTTTTGTTTTATTAGGTTGTTTTATTATTATATTTTTATGTGGTACATTTTTATTACTAAGTTTTTTATATCATTTACTTTTTTAGAAGCAAAAATTATTTCAGAAACAAAAATTATTGGAATAATTGGCATGAGTAAATGTCAAATTGCATTATTTGCAAATATGCTAAATTTAATATCTTATTCCTTTGGGGTCTGTAGTATTTTTTTTTACATTTTTACTACTTATGTCCTTTGCCGGTGTCCCTGCCCGGTGGAGTCACACGGTAGAGTCGATGGTCTTTACACTCTTCGGTTTTTTATGATATCATTTTCTTCATATATTTTATATAGTATTTTATTTAGGGATATTTTTAAATATATTTATTACACTTTTATTTACATATTACATTTTTATTATTTTTTTTATTAGAATTCAAATCATTTTAAAAATAAAATTATTGGTATAATTGTAATGAGTTAATTCATTTATTGCATAATATCCTGAAAATACTGTCAGATTGCAGTGGTGCAAAAAAAGACCTCATTTTCAAAATACAGTTATTTTTGGCGGGGGGGCGGGATCGGGAAAGGTCCTCGAGCTGGGATTTGAACTCGGGATACCCATAGCACAACGGCGCTGTATGTTGGTGTGCTGCCCACGAGGCTATTGGCACCGACCGAAATACAATGTAATATTTTTTCTGTTGGTTTTTAGGGTGAAATATGACCCTGAAGTTGTTCTTGACCAGTTTTGTGAGATTCATCCTAAAAGAGTGATGTGTACAGAGCATAAAGTCTTCTTTTTATGACTAAGTCACGTTATTGTGAATCCAAAGCATGTGGTTTTCTTCTTTATAGTGGTAATTGTGAATGTTGACATTGTTTAAAACTGAAGCACGAACCACTGCTGAGTTTAACTCTCGTTCTAACAGGTTATTCAATGACATGCTGCTGTTTAACTCCGAGAAACCCCAGTTTAAGGTAAACACACTGAAGTAAAAAACTAACCTAACCAGTTTTCGTTTTACTAAATAATTGGTTAAATCTTCCATCTTTCCAAACTCCAGATAAGCTCCAAATTAAAGGAGGCTCTAAAATCGTCCAAGGAATGCTTGGAGAAGTGCCTAGTGGAGGAACAGAGGACGGTTAGCATTGCTTTATTCACTTTTGGTTTCTTGTGCAACAAACGTTTAGCTTGGCTTGCTTACGAAACATTACACATCGGTGTCGCAAACACAAATTCCATCATTTCAGTCTAGAAAAGCTGACTTAATGACATCAGCTGAATAAAATGTGATACTTTACAACAGGAATTTCCATCAAACTTCCTGTAGATTTAGGTTTATATAACTGAAACCTGATGTGTTTTCAGATTCACCAGCACAAGAGGCTGACGCGAGCGCAGTCGCACCACGGCTCCGAGGAAGAGAAGCGGAAAAGGAAGATCTTGGCCAGAAAGGTACACAAGTTTGAGCGCTTTCCCATAATTATGATTCACACTGAACAATCACATTGTTTTATGCTAAACATAATGGTTGTTAAAATCAAAACGCCTGTTTTGGTTTCAGAAATCGAGACAGTCGACGTATGAAAATGAGGAGGATCTTTCTGTCAAATACAATAACAACTCTGGTAGGTTTCATTTATTATTAAACTTTCGTTTATTAAAGGAATAGTTCACCTAAAAATGTCCTCACCCTCGGGCCACCCAAGATGTAGATGAGTATGTTTCTTCATCAGATTTGGAGAAATGTAGCATTACATCACCAACACGAATTTAACATTGACACGATTTTTGTCGTAATTTTCGTCAACGACGTTTTTTTTTTTACTGACGAAAGCGAGACGATAACGAACTAAAACTTGTTTTGAATGACAAAAACTATGATGAAAATCTATTGACATTTTCATTAACTAATAAAAACGAGACGAAAATGTTAGGGAGGGACGATTTGGGAAGAGATTAATTCAGAAGGAATCTGCTGCGTAGTTAGATGCGTACATAACCAGCAGGACATAAGCTAACACACTTGGTTGCTGCACGTCGCATAAAATGTTAAAAAATGTCAATATGTGGGAATAAGAGAAGAGCAGACATATGGATAATTTTTCATACAACAAACATTATTGTGATGTTTTTATCAGCTGTTTAGACTCTCATTCTGACGGCACCCATTCACTGCAGAGGATCAATTGGTGAGCAAGTGATGTAATGCTATATTTCTCCAAATCTGATGAAGAAACAAACTCATCTTCATCTTGGATAGCCTAAGAATGAAAACATTTTCAGCAAATTATTGGGTGAACTATTCTTTTAATAAACAACGGTAAATTTAATGCCACGTTTTTAGTGTTTTGGGTTCCTGAGTATTTTTCTCCATTCATTTTCTCCATAGGGATTTTGGAAAAATCTTGAGGGTCAATCCTTCTCAAATGATGCAATGAAGGTTGCTTGACCATTTTTAATTTTCCTTTTTTGTGTGTGCAGTTGAACCATTTAAAACAAAAGTAAAATAAAAATAAAATTATGTAGCAAATCTCAAAGGGGAAAAAAAAGGAAAACGCTACCAATACAAAAAATTGCTAAAAAAAAGAATCAAGTATAAAAAACGGAAATTAAAAATGGTCAAGCAACCAACTTTACAATTTTTGGACCACTTGAGATGAAATTACTGTTTAGTAAAGAGTTGTAAAACATGAACCGTATAAAGTATGGGTCCGTATAAAGTATGAATTTTTGTATGAATTTTGTATATTTTGACATGATGTTACCATGAAAGAAAAATCCAATATAGCTAATGATATGGCCAAATACTGGACAAGTCAACTAACTTGAATTATACTTGACTGCATTTGGTCCTCACAAAGACACAAATGATACATAGATGAGTCAATTTTGTTCTGGGGGGTCCTTGAGGATGGTTCTGAATTGGACTGGGGTCCTGTACGCCAAAAGGTTGAGATTCACTGGTCTAGTTCACCCAGAATTTGGAAATTAAAGCACTTTTTTTTTTTTTATTAGGTGCACGTGATGTGAACTTAAGACTTTTAAAGGCACAAATATTGCCACAAACAACCTTGGTGTTCATCACAGATTTTCAAAGGTTTATCATTATTGAGAAAAGTCTGATTTTGAATGGCTTTTTCACTACCAAAACCCTTCTGTTGAAGGATCAGCTGTTCAGCTCTTAATGTATAAATACAGTAAAAGAACACAGTAAAAAAAATCATATTTTTTGTCTTCTAGCAGGTTCTGGGGCGAGTTCACCTCCAACCTGCCCGTCCTCACCCACTCCTTTACCTGGATCAGGTACGTCCCATTTATAATGTCCCGTCCATCATTAATCATTATATAACATACATCAGAAGAGTTTTTCCTGGTTTTATCCAAACATTCCCTTTCCACAGCCAGTATGTCCACGTCAACAATCAGTTTTCCCAGTATAATACTGTATTTGTTGCATGATGTGGTAAACTTTTTCGATTGTAATTCACCAGCGCATTAACATCTTTTTTTTTTGTATCCAATAGAAACCTAATCTTTCTCATTTCCATAATCAATCATCAAATTCCTCATGAAATTGGTTGCAATCTCCATTCATCTTACTAGATCATAATCATCCGATGTGTCGCCTCATTCTGATATGATCAGTAACTTGTGTGTGCCTCTCTCTCTCTCTCTCTCTCTTATATGCTGTCTTCAAAACTAGAGCATGCACCATTTTGAACGTGTGTGGGGTAAAGTAATTCAATAATAATAATCTATTTCCACCGTAAAGTTGCAGCTCACCCTCCCTCAGTAGTACATTTGGATTCCCACAGCACAACTGTTGCTCATCAATATTAATGTTTGCAAATGCATGCAAATGAGTTCTGTCCAGACAGTTTCCAGCCTACTGAGAAGGGTTAATGCAACTTTAACAGTTCACAATCTGCAATTCTATTTAGGCACAAAACTTGCTTCATTCTGGACTTTTTGAGGGCTTTTCTGGGGGTAAATTCAGTTTTTTTAACAACAAACACTCTGGTTTTGTGGATTGTGATGGTTGTTTTTGTTCTTATATATGTAATACATTAATAATTGATCATACTGATTTTAAAGATACTATTATTACATGCTCTTTTGAATGAGGAATAAAAACAAAATACACAAAATAATGATCTTTAAAATAGCATCATATAACCCCTTTAAAGCAGTTACAGCTAAGCATAACTAGTATGCTGACGATACTTGCATCTTGCTGATTGGTTCAGAAGGCATGAGTCATTCTGTCCATCACTTACTTCCAAGAAGGTGATTGGTCAGTAAATTACAAATCAGCAATAAGATATTTAAAGTCAACATGAAATGGTAGTATTCTTTCCAATCCCTCATATTTTCATGTAATAATTATATTTGTAGTATCATAATTTATTGTTTACAATATTTACTTATGAAATATAAACGTTTTAAATATAAATCTTTTAAATTAATTTATATTGAACAAATTAACATAATTTATAATTATATAATAGATGGTTATAATGTATCATAATATATTATTTTATATTATATATTATTATAAAATTATAATATATTGTATATTTACTTCTTAAAAATATTTTAAGTATTTAAATATTTTTATCTGAATTATATTTCATAGTTCAATTTCATTTCAGTTATATAATAGTATATTTTCTATCATATATATTGTATATTTATAAATATTGCAAGTTTTGTATTTTTAATGATATAATTAATAATAATATTTTATACCAGTATATTTTTATATCAATATGTTGGGTATTAAATTATTATTAGATATTTATCATTTGAATATTACATTTTAGGTTTTTTTTATAATTAGTAATGATATAATTATGAATTATATTTTATATTTTTAGATATTTTATATGTGTGTGTGTGTGTGTGTGTGTGTACATATATATGTGTATGTAAAATATATATATATAATACAATTATTATATTGAAATGTTTTAAATGAATAAAGATAATTTAAATTATCTTTACTTATTAATTATATTTTTATTATTATTTTAATAAATATATAATTAATTTTTATATTTTATTTCATTGTATTTTTTATATTGCAGTATATTGTGTATTTATGTATTAAATATAAATAAATGTAAATATAAAGATATTCAGTTATTTTATGTTGACTTTAAATGTTGCTGCTTGTGGTAAGTGTATCATTCTGAACAGCTGTTGTACTTTTTCGCTTCCTGTTTACATACGGCACAGGATTCTGAGTAACTACTGTATATTACTGTTTCGTCATATTCGATATAACTAAACCGTATTAGTTAGATTCAACCGATTGTGACGGACTGTTTCCTCTGATTCCCGCAGGAGCACCTCCAGCACCTCCTCTTCCTCCCCCTGCTGCTCCTCCACCTCCTCCCGGGAACGAACCCGTCCCTTCGTCCCTCTCGCCTCCCGGTGGCAACGGCGCGGGAAGGAGCGCCCTCCTCAGCTCCATCCAGTCCTTCAATAAAGTCAAACTGAAAAAATCAGAGACTGTTGACTGCAGCGGCCCACGTTTGTGAAAAAAAAAAACACACGCTCGTCTTTTAGTGCAATTTGGCCACTCGATGTCTTTTAGCAACACTTGTGTCTAGCAGTGAAAAGTGACTGTTTGTACCTGAACTGATTCAGTGTTTGTTTTGTTCGTTTGTTTTATTCACAGCCCTGCGTTTTTTGTTTTGTTTTAAGCTGCTCGATGTAACCTAAACGGTTCTGCTTGGACCAACTGTCGTATTTAAACAATGGACTTGCACACTCTTTCGGACGAAAAAAATCTTTATTATAAAAGTACTGACTTCTGAAGGCGAAGGCACAAGATGGTGGAGAACGCGGGCAGCTCATTTACTATGAATTTACCATGAAGTTCATAAAACGAGTGATATTTGATTCTGACCTTTTAATTCGACTTTGGTTATGGTTTATTTTGGAGGGTTTGGGATGATGCTTTTTAAGCGTTTGCCACATTTACCATTGTGCCTACAAAAGCTGAGAGCATTCTTTATTCTCTTCGTTTTTTTTTTCCTGGGGAAATTTTGAGCTACATTGTTCGTATTTTCTTTCAGAACAAAGTAATATTTGCATTCCTGTTCTGCAAGATCACAATCAATATGTTGCGCAAATAGCATCATTTATACGATGATCATACAATGAGCAATGGCTTTGAATTACAACTGACGTGATTGTATAATGACCATTGTGATGTCACTTACGCCGTCTAATCCTATTGGCTGTTGCAGCCCGGTAGAGAATTTCAGCCAATCAGAAATGAGAAAGTGGTGGTAAATGGAAGTGATTTCTTGATTTGCACACATAGAGGGAGAAAAAACTTCTATAATTTAAATTCATCGCAGGGTCCTGTTGAAAACCAGATTCATTTGTAATCTAGAATGATGTACAGTAATGCACAAAAGTTCATCTTTTGCTCCTGTAACAGTAAACTCATTTGTATATAGATTCATACAGACACTGAAAACATTACAGCTATATACCGTAATATGTATTCCCGGCTTTATCGTGGGGGAAGAGTTTAATAATGTTTTCACTTTCGCGACAGCACTTTACCGCTGAATATTTAGCAGTGGTCTGGAGAAGAAGAAATCTTCTGAAGTTTACACAGTGATTTATGTATGTCCGAGGACAGGAGAGGAATCAGTGCGTTTGACAATGAAGAAAATTGCCACTGATTTTTGCCTCTGTACAGTTGCCACAACCGTTGTTCAAAGCACTGGAGATGAACATCCTCAAAATGCTACAAGATTGTTTTCCCTGTTCTGAAAAACTTGTATTGGCAATATTTTAAAAGAATGGTCTTGTGCTTTTTAGTTGTGAACATTGAAGTAAAGACAATGGAACAGATCATGTGTGGTTTAATTCTTTCTTCAAACTAGCATAAATTAATAAATAACTATTATGTATAGATGTTGTGAATAAAATAAATTGTTAAATTGTATTTTGAAATAAAACATATCTATATCTATATATCTATCATCTATCTATCTATATATCATCTATCTATATATATCTATCTTTATTTTTAAATAAGAATATATAGTGAGATATTTTTATATTTATTTTGAATATTTTAAATAATTTTTTTTTTTTATAATATTTTTAACTTCATTGACATTTATTAGCATGTTTATTAATGATATATTGTAACATTTTAAAACAAGAAACTCAGATTTTTTTATTGCAGATTAATATATGTACATATCTGGTTTACAAATATGTTAGAAAACATTGTTACAATTAGAGTTGTTTTATTTTTATTATAATATTAATTTAACGATATGCTTTGTTAATCAACATTTATTCATTTGTTTAGTAATGATATATTGTACAGTGTATATCTATTTTTTTAAATGAATAAATATGTAGAGATCTCACGTGAATTATAATTACATTGTAAATGTATTTGACAAATTGTAGTTAATATTAGTAGTAAGAGTTATATTATTGTATTATATTTTAAATTTTTAATTAATGTTTTATTAATTTTATTTACATTTATTAGCTTAATGATATATTGTAATTTTAAAACTATCATGTAAATATTTCAGATGTATATACATATATAATACACAGAGATCATGAGGTTTATGATTACGTTTTAAATATAGCTAATAAAATTTTTCATATTTTAATAGTTGCTAGTTTATAATCACGTACATTTAAAATATATTGTCAATATTTTAGATATTGTTTTTAATCAAATGTTGTTGACCCTTTATTATGGAATATTTTAGATATCTGGCAACAATTACATTTAGTTTAGTCCATTTTCAACATGCCCACATCCCGTCTTTTAACATTAATGAAAATCGCGTCATATTTGTCCTTTTTGTTAAATAGTGAAGCAATTTATTTAGAAATCATTGATTTTTTTTGTTTCTATAAAAAGATTTTTCTCTTGCCCTTGGACGCCCAATGACAGTCTGACGGCAACTTCCGCTCTGTCATGATTCAGCTTCACTGATTGGCCGCTGTCACTGTGTTTCCTGTTCTGATTTTACAACGCGCCCTCTGATTGGTCGAAACCGCTGGCATGACAGCCCCGCCTCCAGACAGAGGACAGTGAAACATGGCGTCTCTAAGGTGTTTCCTGCGTTCGGGGAAGGTATTTGTGTGGAAATATGACATATTAGCAACATATTACGCTCATAATAATAAGATGAGAGTTTTGAGACTGATATGGCGTTGTGTTTGTCTCTCAGAATGCCGTTACAGCGGTTTTGCGGCGGGAGTTTCATGGGACGCCGCCGGCTGCGGTGCAGGTCAGTGATGCTGCGGCTCTCACCTTCAACAGATGCTGCATGAAACTAAACACTAAACCTTCAGAAAACACCTGTAAAATGTGTCGAATATTAGTATGTTTGGTCAGCCCATTAATAGCCACCATTGAGTTCAACAATACATACTGAACTGCTAACAAAAACGCCATTGTGATAGCATGTTTTGGGTGTGTACTGTGGTAATGCCATGGTATTAAGAACCTTTCAACCTTTCTTTGGTAATATTCCATGATAATGCTATAGTTTTTTTCCACATGCTCCATGGTGAAGCCATATTTTGGCTTTTTCTTTATATGTACCATGGTAAAACCTCGGTATTTTGGACATTTGTCATGTTTTAATTGACATTCTTTGGTAATATACCATGGTAATGCCACATTTTTCCATGTATACCATGGTAAAACCATGTTATTTGATGTCCCATGGTAATACTATGGTGATTTGAACAGTTACAGTGTTTAAATGGACATTCTTTGTGAATATACCATGGTTATGCAATAGTTTTCCCATAATTACCATGGTAAAGTCATGTTTTGTTTGTTTTTGTTGTGTACCATGGTAATTTTTTATTTATATTATATGAATACCATTGTATTTTGTATATTATTTAATTTTTTAACATTTTCCTTGTGATATGATTTTATAGAAATTGTATCCATATTCTTTTTTAAATTTACCATGATATACCTTTTTTTCTCCATATACAATAGTGTTACTATGTTTTTATATATATGATACAATATTTATTTAGTACCATGTTTCATACCAAAATGTTATGCAATTGCTATGTATAATTATTGCGTTGCATTCTGTAGGCTAATTTTTAATGAACACACTCTTGATTATTTTGCAAATTATCACGGAAGTCAAGTCAAGTCAAGTCACCTTTATTTATATAGCGCTTTTAACAATACAGATTGTGTCAAAGCAACTGAACAGCATTAATTAGGAAAATAGTGTCAATAATGCAAAATGACAATAGTAAACACAAATTTTTTCAGTTAAAGACAGTTCATCATTGAATTCAGTGATGTCAACATCCAGCTCAGTTTAAATAGTATCTTTGCAATCAAAGTATCTTTGCAATCAAAGTATTTCAGATTTTCTCAGAATTTAGTATTTAACGTGTGCACATCTCATGGTTTATAATTATATTGTAAATATAGTTAATAAAATTAATTCATATTTTAATATAATTAAGTACTTTAATATAATTAACGTTATAAATAATAGTAATTAGTTTAGCACAATTATACATTGCTAATTATTTTCAAATAATCATATCAATGCTGTGTTTCCAGTGTAATAAAAATACATCCAGTTTTAAATATTATCCAATATTTATTTCCACCTTATTGACTCTATTTTAAGGCATATTTTGGACATTTTCATTTTTTAATGGGCAACTGATTAAGAAATAATTGTTTTTTGTTTTTATATATTAAATACTTCTCTTGCCCTTGAATGCCATAGTTCTTCCATATGCTTTTTACCATGGTAAAGCCATGTATAATGATAATATCTTGGTTTTTGGACTTCATAGGATTACCATGACAGTTTACTATGTATATTTACTATGGTTTTACTATGACTTCATATACATTGGTATATAAAGGTTTTATGGGAATTTTATAATGACACCATGTTGTTTTTTTACATGTCCCATTGTGTTACTGTGTTTTTTGGACATGTACTATGGTATTACCGTGCTTTTCCTTGCAGTATATTGGGGTACCGTATAAATCTCATTGTATATGAACAATAATTACAATACAATATACAATAATTACTCAGTAGCATGTTTTATATTAGAGTACCATGTTTTTTACCATGTGATATATGTATAATTAATTGCATTTTATTGTTGCAGGTAACAGTCCGAGATGCCCTCAACCAGGCCATGGATGAGGAGCTGGAGAGGGATGAACGGGTTTTCCTCCTCGGAGAGGAAGTCGCACAGTATGACGGTGCATATAAGGTTAGATGCAAATATTTTTATTATATTTCAGTTATCAATGATCCCCAAGAATCTTTTTTAAAGTTGCTTGTGTTGGGTTGCAGGTTAGCAGAGGCCTTTGGAAGAAGTACGGTGACAAACGCATCATTGACACACCAATTACAGAGGTGAGAATGGTGATAAACTTCTCCAAAAATCCTCTGTTTGTTTTTAATTATGTTAAATCAAATTTCCTGATTTTTTTCATTCAGATGGGCTTTGCTGGCATCGCTGTTGGTGCTGCCATGGTGAGTTTTTCTGTAACAACATTGATAAAAGAATGCGAAACTCCATCATGTTCCCAAACTAACCCATCACATCCTCTTTCAGGCCGGTTTGAGGCCCATTTGTGAGTTCATGACCTTCAACTTCTCCATGCAAGCCATCGATCAGGTCATCAACTCTGCTGCCAAGACCTACT